AGCCCTGGCTGGTTTGGCTCAGCAGTTAGAGTGTCGGCCTGCAGTCCAGAGAGACCCGGGCTTGGTTCCCGCTGGGGGCATGTCCCTCGGTTGTAGTCTGTCCCCAGCCCTGGTTGGTCATGTGGGTGGCAGCCACTCGATGTGTTCCTTTCACATTGATGTTTCTCTCTCTCTCTTCCTCTCTCTCCCTCCCACTCTATCTGAACAAAAAATGGAAAAATGTCCTCAGGTGAGGATAAAAAAAGTAAAAAAATGAAAAATAAAAACAATACAAAAGATCAATGAAATGAAGAGCTGGTTCTTTGAAAAGATAAACATGACTGATAAACCTTTAACCAAACTCAGCAAGAAAAAAAGAGAGAGGACCCAAATAAATAAAATAAAAAATGAAAGAGAAGTAACAACTGACACCAAAGAAATGCAAAGGACTGTAAGAAAATATTATGAACAACTATATGCCAACAAACTGGACAATCCGGACGAAATGGATCAACTCCCAGAAATATACAATCTTCTAAAACTAAATCAGGAAACAAAAAAATCTCAACAGATTATAACTGGAGAAACAGAAGCAGTTATAATAATAATAGTAAAAAAATCTCCCAACAAACAAAAGACCTGGACTAGATGGCTTCACAGGTTAATTTTACCAAACATTCAAAGAAGAATTAACTCCTGTCCTTCTCAAACTATTCCAAAAAAAAAAAATTCAAAAGGGAAGACTACCCAGCTCATTTTATGATGCCAGCATTATCCTAATTCCAAAATCAGATAGACACTAAACTATAGGCCAGTATCCCTGATAAACACAGATGCTAAAATCCTCAACAAAATGGATCTAGCAATACATTAAAAAGATCAAACACCACGATCAAGTGGGATTTATCCTGGGGATGCAAGATTGGCACAGTATCTGCATATCAATAAATGTGATACACCACGTAAATAAAATGAAAGATAAAAACTACACGATAATATCAATACAGAAAAAGCATTTGATAAAATCCAGCACTCATTTATGATAATAACTTTCAGCAAAGTGGGAATAGAGGGAATATACTTTAACATAATAAAGGCCATATGACAGACCCACAGCCAACATCACGGGCAAAAACTACAAGCATTTCCTTTAAGATTAGGAATAAGACAGGGATGTCCACTTTTACCAGTTATTCAACATCGTACTGGAAGTCCTAGCCATAGCAATCAGACAAGAATAAAAGTCATCCAAAATGAAAAAAAAAAAGAAGTAAAACTCTCATTATTTGCAGATGACATGATACTTTATATAGAGAACCCTAAAGATTCCACCAAAAAGCCACTAGAACTGATAAATGAAGTAAAGTATCAGGATACAAAATAAATACTCAGGCCCTGGCCAGTTTGGATCAGCGGTTGGAGCGTCGGCCTGTGGTCCGGAGAGACCCGGGTTCGGTTCCTGCTAAGGGCATGTACCTTGGTTGCAGTTTGTCCCCGGCCCTGGTTGGGTCGTGTGGGTGGCAACCACTCGATGTGTCGCTTTCACGTCGATGTTTCTCTCTCTCTCTCTCCCACTCACTCTATCTGAACAAAATATCGAAAAATGTCCTCGGGTGAGGATAAAAAAAATAAATAATAAATAAATAAATAAATACTCAGAAATTAGTCAGTTTTTTTTTTTTTTATCCTCACCCGAGGATATTTTTCCATTTTTTGAACAGATAGAATGGGAGGGAGAGAGAGGAAGGGAGAGAGAGAGAGAAACATCAACGTGAAAGGACACATCGAGTGGCTGCCACCCGCACGACCAACCAGGGCCGGGGACAAACTGCAACCGAGGTACATGCCCTTAGCGGGAACCGAACCTGGGTCTCTCCGGGCCGCAGGCCGACGCTCTAACCGCTGAGCCAAACTGGCCAGGGCAGAAATTAGTCAGTTTTACACACCAATAATAAACTATCAGAAAGGGAAACTAAGAAAACAACCCCATTTACTATTGCATCAAAAAACATACCTAGAAATAAATTTAACCAAGGGTGTAAAAGACCTGTACTCAGAAACTTAAAAGACACCGAAGAAAGAAACTGAAGAAAATACAGATAAATAGAAGCATGTATCGTATTCATGGATTGGAAGAATTAACAAGCTTAAAATGTCCATACTACCCAAAGTAATCTATAGATTCAATGCAATTCTTAAGAAAATATCAATGGTGTATTTCACAGAACTAGAACAAATATTCCAAAAATGTATATGGAACCACAAAAGACCCCGAATAAGACCCCAGCAATCTTAAGAAAGAAGAACAAAGTCTGAGTCATCATACTACCTGGTATCAAATTATACTACAAGGTCATAGTAATAAAAACAGCCTGGTACTGGCATAAAAACAGACCTATAGCTCAATGGAACAGAACAGAGTCCAGAAATAAACCCATACCTTTACTGTCAATTAATATATGACAAAGGGGTAAAAAACATACAATGGGGTAAAGGTATTCAATAAATGGTGTTTGGGAAATTAGACAAATACATGCAAAAAAAAAAAAAAGAAAGAAACTAGACCACCTTCTCACACCAAACATAAGAATAAATTAAAAATGGATATAAGACTTAAATGTTAGACTCAAAACCATCAAAATCCAAGAAGAAAACACAGTCAGTAAAATCTCAAACATTTCTCCTAGCAATATTTTTTCTGATGTATCTTCCTGGGCAAGGGGACAAAAAGAAAAAATAAATGAGACTACATCAAACTAAAAAGTTTTTGCACAGCAAAGGAAACCATTAACAAAATTAAGACAACTCACTGAATTGGAAAACATATTCACCAATGATACATCTGATAAGGAGTTAAGATCTAATATTTATAAAAAACTTATAAAACACAACAAACAATGCAACTAAACTGAGCAAAGGACTTGAATAGACATTTCTCCAAAGAAGACATACAGATGGCCAATAAACATCTGAAAAGATGCTCGTCATTAATCACAGAAATGTAAATTAAAATCACAATGAGATATCACCCTACACCTGTCAGAATGGCCATCATCAATAAATCAACAAACAACAAGTGTTGGCAAGGGTATGGAGAAAAGGGAACCCTTGTGCACTGCTGGTGGGAATGCAGGCTGCTGCAGCCACTGTGGAAAGCAGTATAGTTTCATCAAAAAATTAAAAATGGAACTGTCTTTTGATCCAGTGCCTCCACTTTTGGGAATTTATCTGAAGAAACCAAAACGCCCATTTGAAAGAATATATTTCTTCCCCTATATTCACTGCAATGTTTTTACAATAGCCAAGATTTGGAAGCCGCCCAAATGTCCATCAGTAGATTAGTGGATAAAAAAAGCTGCAGTACATTTACACAGTGGAATACTACTCGGCCCTAAAAAAGAAGGAAATCTTACCCTTTGCAACTGCAGGGATGGACTGGGAGAATATTATGCCAAGTGAAATAAGCCAGTCAAAGAAAGACAAATGTCACATGATCTCACTTATATATGGAATCTAATAAACAAAATAAACTAACAAACAAACCAGAAACACTCATAGATAGAGAACAGACTGACACTTGTCAAAGGGGAGGTGAGGTTGTGGAACTGAGTGAGAAAGTAAAGGGATTAAACAAACACACACAAAAAAAACCCCAAAAACAAACTAATAGGCACAGACAACAGTATGGAGATGATCAGAGGGGAGGGAGTAAAGGAGGTAGAAGAGGGTAAAGGGAGGATAAATGATGACGGAAGATTTGACTTGGGCTGGTGAACACATAATATACAGATGATGTACATAAAATTGTACACCTGAAACCTACATAATTATTAACCATTGTAACTCCAATAAATTCAATAGAAATGAAAAAGAGAGAAAGGCAAATAGCAATTTTACTGACACGTGCAATCTATAAATAATCAAGGAACAAAACGGAACAGTCCTACATACAGAGAACACCCTGATGGTTGCCAGATGGGAGGGAGGTTGGGAGGGTTGTGAAAAGGGGCAGAGATTAAGGTGTACAAACTGCCAGATATAAGCACAGTCACAGATGTCAAGCACCGCAGGACTGATTTCAGCTGGAGAACTATTTCAATAAGGGGTCAGTCCTGCGCCCACTGGCACTAAGTTTACTGGGACACAGCTACACTGGCTCATGGATACAGCACTGTCTGGGGCGGCTTTCCAGCAGCAATGCAGAATGGTTCTCATGACAGAGACGTGACCTGCAAATCCTATTGGGGGACCTGAGGATATTTTCCATTGACTTTTAAGGAGTGGAAGAGAGGAAGTACGGAGGAGAAGGAGAGGAAGAGGAGGAGGGAGGAGGGAGAAGGGAAGAGAGAGAGAAACATTGATGTGAGAGACACATCAACTGGTTGCCTCCTGAGTGTGCCAGAGATTAAACCTGCAACCCAGGTACATGCCCTTGATCAGGAATTGAACCCACGACCCCTAGGTGCACTGGCCAACACTTTCACCACTGAGCCACATGGGCCAGAGAGGGAGTTTCTCTTTGCAAATAATGAAAATGTGATTGACCACACAAGTGGACACATTTAAAAGTGTTGCTAGTGAGAAACCTTTTAAGGACCGAGTTCTAGTGCAACCTGACCACTCTTTTCAAAGGCTCCACCCGTTCGGGCTAGACCAGCAGAGTTCCGCGGGGGAGGGGCTGGCACCATCAGAGCGCAGCCAGCCTGCACTTTCTCGGAGAGCGGGGAAGCCTGGCACCTGCCACAGGAAAAGCCGTCTCCAGACTGAGCGCGCAGCCCGCCTAGAAGGCTGTGGGGCGTCTCTAATCCACACCACTACATGCATATTCATTCCGATGGCAGAAAACTAGCTTCTGCCTTATGAACTCTTGTAGCCTTCTTTTTTTAAGGTAACTGATATCGACTTTAGGTCAAAATCTTCCAAAAGTTTCTAAAATCTACCTATTTGTTCAAAGTGAGTGTTTTCAAGAAACTTTTGAGATGAAGAAAACTGATACAAAACACACATCGATGTTCAAGTAATTTAAAACAAAAATGTAGATTTAATGCAATAACAACATTAATCTGAGGATAAATAAATCCACACAGACTTTACAGTTTGGTTTTCTCCTTGCAGAGATGGTTGCTGAAAGCACACAGGCTGCAGAAGGCAAACCAAGTATAATCCTTAACGTCCAGGCGAACAGGCTGGTCCTCCCCGCTGCCCTCCTGGACTGCTACTGGCCAGGCCACCGTTTCTCGTCTGATCAGGACGGCCACTTGTTTCAGGAGTAGCTGGACGGTTTGCTCCCAGAATCATCTTCTTGCGCCCCCATGCTCTGCAGGGGGAGTGAAGCGGGGTGTGGGCCGGCGGAGTCCCCCACCAGCCCGGAGGACAGCTCCCCATGTGTGTCCGGGCACCGCCCTCTGCACTCCCTGAGCAGGCTGCAGTTTGAACGCTCTCCACAGCCTCTGTGAACTTAGTAACCAAGGTTTTCGAGAACTGGTGACGAGATGTCTAATCTGGAACGAAGTTCACATTCCTCTTGTGGGAACAAGCCCCCCACCCCCCACTTCTGGTCCACAAGGGGCCTTGACCACTCACCTTCTGCACGAACTGCGGGTTCACCGTGATCTCCTGGTCCATGGCCTTCAGCCGCTCATCCAGCTCGATGCACTTCAGCATCTGCGACAGGCGTGTTGACAGGCGGTTAGTGCGCGCGGCTTTTACACAAGTCTGGGTCCATTTGAACCTAGACTGTTAACGTGGGCGCTACAGGTTCATAACCTCTGAACCCAAAACCACTTAGCTACACAGGTTTGGAGTCAGGATTTTGAATTCAGAGTTGATACAGTACGAATGCTGTGCATTACTGACACCCCAGTAGTAGGATCTAGGGGAGCACCCCATGATCATCCACATTACCATTCGCAGTGAAACCTGAAAACACATTAAGTAGGATAAGGACTATACATTTCAGGTGACATTTGCCATCAGATGAGTCACCAGACAACTTCCGGTCCCAGGGTCACCCAGTCTGGGTCAAAGGGGCGGGGGCAGTGCACTAGCATGGCTTCTGCTCCTTGAGGGTCAAGGCTTTGCTCAGTTCCCTTCCTCAAGCCAAGGGAAGCAGCGCGGGCCACCAACACAGTCCCAGCTCAGTCCGAACCCATGTGGCCCTCAGACCAGCAGGACCCGAGGCAGCACGGGATGCCCTGGGGGGGGGGGGGGAGGCTTCCCTCCGCAGCTCCCTCTGCTCACCCACCGATGATGCAGAGGCCCTGACCCGCAGACCGGCACTCGGAACACACTTCACCCCAGAACAGAGGCCACGTTGCAGGTGGCAGCTGAGTGTGGGCAGGGGCGCTGCCTGGGAGACCCGGGGTGAGGGGGGACCGAGGACCTCTGGTTGGCCAGACAGGAGCTCTGACCCACCATTTACTTCATGTCAACAATCCTGCAGAGTTCAGCAGCCCATTTGTAATTAACTTTGGAGGAACGAAAAGGTCCCTAGGCACTGGCGTTTCGCAGGGGCAGTGTCTCAACTGCAGCATCTCAGACACCAGCCCTGTCAGACCCGCCCTGGTGTTTACCTCCTGGTCAATGTTGTGGAGCATCGCCGGGTTGTTGTACTTCTCAGGGTTATCGTGGAAACTGACCATACCGTCCTTCTGATTAATACTTGCAAAAATTTCACCATCTTCTATCTATTAAAAAAAGTCAGGGAACATGTTTAGACCCGAACACTATGTGAATGTATAGTGATTCAGTATTATCAGGGCAAAGCACAGGAAGCAATAAATAAACACATAAAGCTGTATGTGCATTTTTAAGCAGTTTATCCAACAAGTATTTACGGGAATTCCAAGAATGTGCTAGGCACCATTATAGACGCTAGGGGCACAAATGTGACAGATTCCTGAAAATTCATGCCCTTATATGGTTTTAAGTTACATATGAGGTAAAAGTTACAACATACATTAACCATTTTAATGTGTGTAATTGAGCCCTGGCAGGTTTGGCTTAGCGGTTGGAGCGTCGGCCCTTGGACCAGAGTTGCAGGTTCAATTCCGGTCGAGGGCACGTACCTCAGTTGCAGTTCGGTGCCTGGAACTGGTCGGGGTTGTGTGGGAGGCAGCCAATGTTTCTCTCTCGCACGCTCTCTCTACCCCTCCCTCCCACTCTGTCTGAAAATAAATGGAAAAATATCCTCAGATGAGGATTAAAAAATAAATAAAATAAGACTCCCTAAAAAAGTAAATAAAAAGGAAGTGTACAATTCAGTGGTATTCCATAGTGTGGTGCAACCACCATCTCTCTCTGGTTCCAAAAGATTTCCTTCACCCAAAAGGAACCCACACCTGTCAGGCAGCTACTGCCTGTTCCCCCACCCCCAGCAAACTGCCCTTGCAGCTTTATTATCTATTTGTTCGGTTAATCCTCACCCAGGGATATTTTTTCCACTGATTTTTAGAGAGAGTGGGAGGGAGAGAGGGAGGTGGAAGAGAAAAGGTTGGTTGCCTCCCGCACATGACCTGTGAGCCTTCAGTGCACGGCGACAGCACTCTCCCCAATGAGGAACACAGGCAGGGCTGCCACGGACCCGTAAACATTAATGTCACTGTCGATAGCTTACACTACCCTTGCATTGTGAAAACAGAAACGCTAACACATTTTTGTTTCACCGAGTAGAAATCATTTTTGGTCCTTCAAGAAAACTTCGGCCAATGCGGATTCCAAGGTAGTTTTGAGATCTATGTTCTCTATTTGCATCAATGACTGGGGATTTGATTGATCCTCACAGTCAAATAGTGTCTATGAAGTAAAAAAGTAAGAAGCCAATACAAGTCCCCAACAGGAAATGCCATCCCTGACAAACTGCTCCACAGGGTGACACCATGAGCCCACCGGCGACAGAGCTCCCCACACTGCCCTGCTCCCATCGCCCTGGAAGGGACAGACACTGTCCAGTGATACAGCAGCCAGCCCAGCAGGTGAACAGAGTGCATCATTCTCTAAGTGATCAGAGCTGCCTCTTTAAAAGGCGGGTGAAGAGTCTATGTTATCGATGAATTCCATAATGGCAGTGGAGTGAATGGAAGCTACACAGACCGTCTCCCAGGACCAAACTGGAATTACAACAAAAATAAAGACAAATCATCAGGAAAAAGCAACAGAAAAGCAGCAGGACAGGACCATATAACCAGGGACACTGACTCCTGGCAGGATTGCAGAGGCGCAAGAGTGGGGCTGGGAGCCCACAGTCAGCAGCAACCGTAGCTGGGAGCAGCGCCCTCAGGTTACACTCCCAAGTGGCTCCATAGGGCAGAGCTGGGACAGATGCTAAAATAGCCACAGTCACTCACCTGGGGCTCTTGCAGAGGGACGGCAGACTAGACTAGAACTGTGTGGGAACACCCAGAATTTGGAGGGCGCTCAGAGCTTTTGCTGAGTTGCAGCCATGTGGGACGGTAGTCCTCTTACTCCTTCCCAGGGCTCTGGGGAGAGGCAGCAGCGCCTCCCTCGGATGTTCAACCCTACCCAGCTGGGCCATTGAAATGCAAATTGAGGCTAATTATCAACAAGCATCTACCCCACACTCAGGAAATCCCCTTACGCTGAGCACTTGAGAGAGTTTTTCATTACAGTGAGACCCCAAGGCTCTTCAAGTGAACACTACTGATAACCTCCAAGCAAAAAGTTAGAGGATAACTACCTTTCCTGGGCTAGCAATTCCAACCAGGAAAGTAAGACTTGACAGTGGAGTTTAACATGGGCCCTCCCTCACTCATCCAAACCCAGGAGAGGGAGCCACAAACAGCACAACACCAACACCCACAGGGAAAATTTGGCAGGCTCCAAAGCCCACTGTGATAGCCAACATGGTGAAACACAGAAACAAAAGCCAAATGAAAGAACATGAGACCTCTACTGAAGATGAGATAAATGAGTTGCAGTTAAGCAAGTTAACAGAGCTACAATTCAGAGCCATGATCTTGAGGAAGCTCAACAGCATGAGTAAGGACATGAGCACCATAAGTAAAGATATAGAAATGTTGAAAATCAACCAATTGGAAATTAAAAACCACCAAGAAGAAATCAAGAATGACATATCAGAAATAAAGAACACAATGGAAGGTCTAAACAGCAGAGCAGAGGAAGCTGAGGAGCAGATCAGTGAATTAGAAGACAGGCTAGAAAAGAATCAACCAATCAGAAAACCAAAAGGAAAAAAACAATTAAAAAACAGGAATACAGGTAAAGAGAACTGTGGGACAACTGGAAACATAATAATATTCACATCATAGGAGTCCCCGAAGTAGAAAATAAGCAAGGGTTAGAGAATATATTTGAAGAAATAGTGACAGAAAACTTTCCTAATTTGGTGAAGGAAGAAGGCATTCAAGTTCAAGAAGCACAGAGAGCCCCAAGTAAGAAGAACCCAAACAGGCCCACACCAAGACACATAGTAATCAAAATGCCAAAAATTAAAGACAAGGAGAGAATCCTAAAGGCAGCAAGAGATAAACAACGGGTTACCTACAAAGGAAACCCCATAAGGCTCTCAGTTGACTTCTCAACAGAAACACTACAGGCCAGAAGGAAATGGCATGAAGTAATCAAGGTCATGAAAAACAAGGATCTGGATCCAAGACTACTCTATCCAGCAGGCTATCATTCAAAATAGAAGGTCAAATAAAGAGCTTCCCAGACAAAAAAAAAAAAAGGCTAAGGGAATACATTAGCACAAAACCAGCACTGCAAGAAATGTTAAAAGGACTGCTGTAATTAGCAGGAGAAATGGGAAAAAAAATAGAACCACACTAAATAAAAATGGCATTAAATAAGTACATATCAATAATCACCTTAAATGTAAATGGACTGAATGATCCCATAAAAAGACACAGAGTAGCTGAATGGATAAGCATAACTCATCTATACGTTGTTTACAAGAGACCCACCACACAACAAAAGACTCACATAAATTGAATGTGAAGGGATGGAACAAAATTTTCCAAGAAAACGGAAAGGGAAAAAATGCTGGGGTAGCAATACTCATAATCTGTTAATATAGATTTCAAAATGAAGGTCATAACTAGAGACAAAGAAGGCCACTACATAATATTGAAAAGATCTATCCAACAGGAAGATACAACCTTGATAAACATATATGCACCCAATATAGGAGCACCAACATATATTAAAAATCTTCTAGAGGACTTCAAAGGACAAATCGACAGCAATACAATGATAGCAGAGGACTTCAACACCCCACTGACATCACTGATATAGACAGATCTTCTAGACAAAAAATTAACAAGGAAACACAGACTCTAAATGAAGTGCCAGATCAAATGGATTTAATAGATATCTACAGAGAATTACACCCCCAAACTGCAGAATTCACATTCTTCTCAAGTGCACATGGGACATTCTCAAAGATATACTACATGTTAGGGCACAAACTAAGTCTCTACAAGTTCAAGAAGATTGAAATCATATCAAGCATCTTCTCAGATCACAATGGCATGAAACTAGAAATCAATTGCAACAAGAACGTGCAAAGACATTTGAAAACATGGAGACTAAATAGCATGTTATTGAACAATGAATGGGTTACCACGGAGATCAAGGAAGAAATTAAAAAATTCCTGGAAACCAATGAAAACGAACACACAACAACACAAAATCTATGGGATTCACCGAAAGCAGTTCTGAGAGGGAAGTTCATAGCACTACAGGCCTACCTCAAGAAACAAGAAAGGCTGCTCTCTCCTCTGCGTAGGATGGGACAGTCGCCGCGCGGCTAATAAAGCTCTCTTAATTTGTACCCCCCCTCCAAAAAAAAAGAAACAAGAAAAATTTCTAATAGACTATCTAACCTCACAACTTAAAGAACTAGAAAGCAAACAAAAAGAAAACCCCAGAGCAAGTAGAAGGAAGGAAATAGTAAAGATCAGAGCAGAAATAAATGACATGGAGACCAAAAACACAATTCAAAGGATCAATGAAACAAAGAGCTGGTTCTCTGAAAAAATAAACAAGATTGATGGACCCTTAAGCTAGACTTACCAAGAAACAAACAGAGAGAACCCAAATACACAAAATCAGAAATGAAAGAGGAGAAATAATAACTGATACCACAGAAATATAAAGAATTGTTAACAGATATCATGAACAATTATACGGCAACAGATTCGACAATCTAGGCGAAATGGACAAATTTCTAGAAACACAGTCTCCCAAAACTGAACCATGAAGAGATAGAAAACTTGAACAGACCAATAACAACAAAAGAAATTGAAGATGTAATCAAAACTCTCCCAGCAAACAAAAGCCCACGCCCGGACGACTTCACAGGGGAATTTTACCGAACATCCAAAGAAGAACTAATACCGATTCTCAAACTATTTCAAAAAATTCAAGAAGAAGAAAGACTTCCAAACTCGTTTTATGAGGCCAGCATAATTCTAATTCCAAATCCAGAAAAAAGACACTACAAAGAAAGAAAACTACAGGTCAATATCCCTGATGAACACAGACACCAAAATCCTGAACAAAATACTAGCAAATCGGATCCAGCAATACATCAAAAAAATTATTCACCATGACCAAGTGGGATTCATCCCAGGGATGCAAGGCTGGTACAATATTCTCAAATCAATAAATGTGATATACCACATAAACAAAATGAAAGATAAAAATC